GGGCTTTGGTGCTCACTGAGTCTGCTTCTTGAATGTGTCCCTTATGGATGTGAGGAGTTGAAATCTGGTATCTGACCAGGGGCACCCTGGCTCCTGGATCTCCAAGTCAACCACTGTGTGGGTCCACCCAGCAGGGGCTACAGCAATATCAACAGATTTCTCCTCTTTGTTTGGAGTTTGGAAGTTTTGGAGCTCTCTGATCCAGCTGCAGTTTGTTGGGTTAGGCTGCAAAAACACAGGTGGTTCCCTGCGCCACTGGCACAGCTTGGGCGGGGACGTAAATTGAGTGGGGCGGGGTCTCAGAGAATCACCAGGGCGGAGCAAACAGCAATGGTTGTCGTCAGCGTCTCTGCTACTCCGACTCCACGTCTCTGCGTCCCCGAGTCCCGCGCCCCCACAGCAACAATGATCCCTGCGAGCAGCTCTGCGAGAAAGCCACCCTTGCTTTCCGACCCGCTGCAAGACAGTCCAGTTTCTCCCCGTAGGAGTCTGGGACCTCAGAATCTCGCCTTAAACGAGCTCAGTGCGTTCGAGAGCTTGTCTCCCCTTCCGATTGAAAAAAACCGCACATCCAGGTGCAGCCCCCCTCACGCGCGCCTCTGTACCTCTGTTCTTGGTGCCTCTCCCCTCCCACTCAGTCTCAATGCGCTTCTTTCTTTCCTTCTAGTTGTAGAACTTCCACTCGGCCAGCTTTCCCGTGGTTCTGGATGATAGCTGTTTTGTCTTATAGTTGTAATTTCAGTGTTGTTGTGGGAGGCAGCACGCACAGGTTTATACCTTATGCCTCCATCTTGGTTCTCCATGTTGTGATTTTTAAAAAGTGAATGTTCTGTCCCAGCTGGCATGGCTCTGTGGTTGAGTGTCGACCCATGAACCAGGAGGTCACCAAACTGGAATTAGAACTAAGATAGTGTTCTTCAGGCCTCAGTACCTGGGGTGGTTTACCTTCTGTTGTCTGTCATTTCAGAGAAAGGGTATAAGCATTAAGGTTTTGTAGCTGTGGGCTCCCTGCTTCTCCTGTTCTTTCTGTCCCAGGTATTCAGAGGACCTGCCTTTGTGGTTTGTCTCTGTGGACAGCATAGTGAGTGGGTCTTGCATTTTTATTTTGACAATCTCTTCATTTTTCTTTTAGCTATACATACTCTCTGCTCTAGGTGTTACAATAAATCCACTTAATTTTGAAAGTCATCTTAGGGTAGTGGTAGTACAGCCCTCTGCACATACAATTGAAAACTGCTGTGCTGTGGTTGAGTGCCATGTCTGTACACTTTATACTTTTTGAGTTTTCTTTGAATTTTTCTTGTAGACTAACCTACCATGGCCGACCAGCGACAGCGCTCACTCTCTACCTCTGGGGAATCGCTGTACCATGTTCTGGGGCTGGACAAGAACGCAACCTCAGACGACATTAAAAAGTCCTACCGGTAAGAGCCATGCCTCGTGGGTGTGATTGGCACCGACCAAGAACTACCATATATATATATTTTTTAATTTTTTTCTTGGCTGACTTAGTATTTAACATCTTTGTATGTACAGTGTATCCCTTGTACCTTAAAATGGGTACATTAATGTTTCCAGACTGTCTACCCTGGAGTAGGCAGTCCTGCAGCAAGCAGCTCTGACGTGCTGAGCGGGGCTGTTGGCCATTGGATGAGGGACTTGGTGCCACGCGGTGGTGACAGTCTGCTTGCCTGTTGTAACCTCCAGGCTGAACCTGAATGGACCCTTAGGTGCGGTGTCATTGGTGAAGCTGTGATGACTAAACACACAGCAAAGTGCCTTATCAGACCCCCTGCCTGTTGCTTTGTGCAGGAAGTGCGCAGTTAGCTGCTCGGACACTAGAGGTCAGGGTAGGGATTGCCTTTGCGCTGTGGAAAGTTGGAAACGATGGCAGAGATTTCTTTTGACCCACACCTTCCCGACTTCTATGGAGAGGAGGAAAGTGAGATGGTCATGGCAAATGTTCTTCCACTGGCACCTCCATCCAGTGGGTGAACATGAAACGTGAGACCAAGCAATGGTTTTGGTTTGCAGGAAACTGGCCCTGAAATATCACCCGGACAAGAACCCTGACAACCCAGAGGCTGCGGACAAGTTCAAGGAGATCAACAACGCACACACCATCCTCACGGACGCCACGAAGAGGAACATCTACGACAAGTACGGCTCGCTGGGGCTCTACGTGGCCGAGCAGTTTGGGGAGGAGAACGTCAACACCTACTTCGTGCTGTCCAGTTGGTGGGCAAAGGTGAGGGTGTGGAGCTGACGGAGCGGCGGGTGTCGGACTCACCAGTCCCTGCGTGATCGTGTGCTCCACACTCCTGACAGTGGTGACTGGTGGGCGGCTGTACCCCGCTCGTCCCGTGTGAGTGTGGGCAGTTGTGTGCCTTTCAAACTGGACGTTTCTCAACACTCTCCTTTACTCACTCAAAGCCCTGTCACGTGTGAGGACACAGTGCTGACGCCAGGGCGCTGGCCTGTAGGCAGCCCACATCGCTGCTGCCAGGGCTGCTCGCAGCCCCCTCTGTAAATAGTTTCTCTTTATGCACCTGGATGCTCTGTCTCTCCTGGTTCCCATGTTGGTCCTTTCTTACACTCCTCGATGTGGAGGAGAATAGGAGCGCCCGCCTGTCTGTCTGTCGCTCTCATAGGGCAGCAGTGGGTGTGTGGGGGTGCCCCGTTGGGGAGTCCCCGGTCTGGAGCCACCTCAGCCAGCGCCCACCTCCTCCCCAGGCCCTGTTTGTCTTCTGCGGGCTCCTCACCTGCTGCTACTGCTGCTGCTGCCTGTGCTGCTGCTTCAACTGCTGCTGCGGGAAGTGCAAGCCCAAGGCGCCCGAGGGCGAGGAGACCGAGTTCTACGTGTCCCCCGAGGACCTGGAGGCGCAGCTGCAGTCGGACGAGCGGGGTGAGTGCCGCCAGGGCCCGCCTGCGTGCGTGGGGTGGTGCCAGAACGGGCCCTCACCCGTGTCCACCTGTCTTGTCAAACAGGAGGGCACTGACATGGGGCCAGGATGTGTGTGGCAGCTGGGCCCGTTGAGGTTGAACGTGGACTCGGAGGTAAAGCAGACGAGGGGCTGTCCCTGCCCGCCAGCTGCGCTAGCTGTAGTGCCTGGGGACCAAGTAGGTGGGGCGGGCCTCGGGCCAGCGGCAGCCTGAGGCGACGAGGTGGTCACGTCGGGGGGGAGGTCCGTGAACAGCCTCTCCCTCCGAGTGCTTGTCCTGCCACCTGTGCCCCAGCAGAGCGACGGAGCATTGTCACAGGAGGACGTGTTGACGGGGCACACGGTGCACTCGGGAGGCCGCCATCCTCATGCGATGAACATGTGTGTGATTGCTTTTCAGAGGCCACAGACACACCGATTGTCATACAGCCAGCGTCCGCCACAGAGACCACTCAGCTCACAGCCGAGTCCCACCCCAGCTACCACACCGACGGGTTCAATTAAGTTCAGGAGAAGCTGTGATGTGCGGATCAATCAGCACCCGGCCACTTCGACCTGAGAATCATGAACTGTAGTCACAGAGGTGGGGAGGGAGCCGCTCTGGCCTGGGAAG